ACACACACACACACACACACACACACACACACACATACAGGGAATGTACAATGTACGGTTGGAAGGTTGCCGGAACTGGAGGCAGTGTTCAGTGCACAGTGTTTGGCTTGTGGTGAAGGCGAGGAATGTTTGATTTAATGATCACCCTGAAGTCTTTCTTTCCTTTTGGCTGAAGCCACAGTGGATTGAGGAAAAAAACTGAAGCGCAACGTGAATTCTGAATGAATACCGATGAGGAGAGAGAAAAGCAGCAGGAAGAAGAAGAAGAAGAAGAAGAAGCCGACAATTTCTATCGGTCGTTATCGATCATTGTAACGATTACTGGGGGTGGTGGTGGTGCAGGCAAGTAATGTCATTAGTAGCTGGGCAGTACAAGCAGTACAAGATCGAGAACTTTTGCTTCTGCTGCAGACCAAAAGAAAGGAAGGGAAAGGAAAAAAGGAAAGAAAAAAGACTCGTGCCTGGCAATCAGACACAGGAGAAGGAGGAGAAGGTGGAGAAGAAGAAGAAGGACAGCACAATAGAACATACCTTTGTGTTTGGTGGGTGAGCACAGTGGACGGTTGATCGCTGGTAATCATCAACTCTGGTCAGCAGCAGTCTTTCGGTGCGTTTGAACTGCGACATTGTCTGTTTTGCCGACTAACGGTTAGCCGCCGACCATCTGGCTTAACTCGGTATCGCTGTCTGTAGACATTGTTGACAATTTTTTTCACCATCAGCGCCATTATCAGAAGGAAAGAAGAACAGCAACGGGCGCAATAACAATAAACCTGGTCAATTAGAAATGGGCGCCCCCTTTTTCTTTTTTTTCAGAGAAAACAGAGCCATTGAGTCGGTGCAACTCCGCCCCAGCAATAAGCGATAAGCGATCAATTTGGTCGATTACCGATTTGAGATCAGACATTTTGAAGCACCTGATGCACTCACTCACCTGAAATGCAAGTGTACTCAAAGTCACCTTTTCGTATTTTTTCCCCATTATCGGACAATTGATGGGATAGGATGATGGGGTGAGCAGTGCAGTGCTCTGGGGGCAATGGGGCAATGCTTCAGTGGACAGTACAGGCACTGAAAATGAAGACGGTCATGGTGGCGTAATGCTGCAGAAGAGTCTGAAAAAAAGAGAATCGGGCGCAATCACATTGGGCGACAGACACGACAACGACGACGACAATCACATCGGCTGACATAACAAACGCACTTTTCGCGTGCCGCAATTACCGTTCAGATCTGTGATGAGAAAGTAGGCAAATCAGGAGCAACACTATTTGCGAAAATTCACTGCAGCACCAAAAGTAGAGCTGATCATCATCGAGAATGACAGTAGAAGGTGAGAGCAAAATAATGCGCACAAATAAAGACGATTGCCCCTGTAAACAAAGCAAAGCAAAACAAAACAATTGGAGAAGTCATGAGACAAAGGACAGTCACTAAAGTATCACCAATGTTTCATTCTGTTTAGTTAAAAAAGAGAGCAAAGTGTGTTGTGTTGTAGAATTCATTGAAGAAAGGTACAAAGCGGTGCTGCTGCTGCTGCTGTGGACAGAGGCAAGTTGGAAAGTTGGCTCACAATGCTGCTGCATTGAGTTCATCCTCAAGTCCATCGAGGTCGTCATCCTCAGCAAAAAGGGTTTCATCAATAGGTTCATTGATAATGTCATCCTCTCCTTCCTCCTCCTCCTCCTCATCACCTTCACCACCAGCGTCACCATTAGTTGAGGTGGTGCTAGGACCACCCGCGGCATCACCCTCTTTAGAAGTGGAAGGTTTATCAGGCGCTTTAGAACCTTTGGTGGCAAAGTCTCGTTTCTCAGCAGCCTGCGTAGTGCCCGCCGAGTGGTCGACCTCCTTTGCCTCGCGGGCAATCGCCTCGAGGTCAATCTCCTTGACGTTGAGGCTCGTCTCGTCGTCATCATCTTCTCTCTCCCGAACAATGTCCATCGCCGCTTCACCCTCTTCCATGTCATTATCGGTGGCCAGCTCCGGATTAAAGGTGAACATCTCTCGGCCGCTGAGGCCGACGTTCTTCCCTGCCTTGAACTCTGCCTTCCGCCGGTCGGTTTCCTTCCTCGAAGCGGCCTGCTTCTCCGCCACCTTCTTCTTCTTCCACTCGAGGAAGGACTCCAGCGTGATCTTGGTCAGATTGTATCCCAGGTTGGAGCGCTCAATCTCCACCAGCTCCTCGATGGTAATGTCCTGCACCTTGTCCTTGTTCTTGCGGTCCTTCTTCAGAACGAAACCAGGCGGAAGGGCGTGACGGTAGTGGCACTTTTCACCGCCTCCCGGGCACTCCCAGAACCAGCCGTACTTGTTCGACTCGACGGCTGTTTAGACAAAAGATAAACCAAAAGTTAAAGAATGTTATCCTTGTCACTGCAACCGATCGTCCTTACCCTCCAAAAAGTGCTTGCAAATGATATCCGTCGGCGGCAGCTTCCGCTCCCGTTCGCCGTGCTTCTTCTCCACCACCTCCTTCAGCTTGTCGTCGTCCCAGTTGTCCATGTTGTCAGCTTCTCCCTCGCCCTCTTCGCCCTCGCGCTTGTCAAAGTACAGGCTCTTCTTCTCGCTCTTTCGCTCAATGGTCAGATCGTGGGAGAACTTGCATTTAGCGCCCTTCCCACACTGGCCCGACTTGAAGAAGGCGCACAACACCGACTTTGGATCGACGCCCTTGTCGATCTTCTGCGCGGCGACCACCGGCTTGAAGAGCTGGTTCATTTCCGCCAGCTGCTTCTGCTTCTCCTCTTTCTTCGTGAGGGCATCCTTCTCGTCTTTTGTCTGGAAGAAATGCATACATTTCGGTCATCATCAACGGTTCAAAATGCAATCATTGAGCGCAGTCACCTTTTTTGGATTGTTGCCAAACTTCACCTGATTAGAGACCTGCTGAACAAATTTTTGCTGTTTGGCACCTTTTTTGTTTTTCAGGCCGAATGTTTTGTCCTGCAGATGGTTTCAAAATGATTAGTTTAGAATGAGACATTGAAACTGCTAAGCACACAGAAAAGTGCCGGTCAAGGCACTCGCCTGGTCACCACCACTTACCTCGATGATTTTCTCCTTTTTCTTCGCGTCGACCTTCTTGCTGGGCGCTGGTGCCTTCTTCGGTGGCATTCTTCTCGTTGGCTGGGATCAATACTGGTACAGGTATTGAATGGGTAAAACACTTTGGGATAAGATGTTGATGAGCTGGGTGCTAAGACGATCTTCCAGAAAAAGCAGTGTCGGCAAACAACAGCGAGTCGCCTTACTTGCGCTGCTGATGAGGCCACGCGTGTTGTTGTTCATCTTCAGGCAGTGTGGCGAAAACTTTCTCTGGCACTGGCCAACAGATGGCTGGCCGGTTCGCTTTTGGGATTTTTTTCTTTGCTGGTGTTTTTGTTTTGGTGATCTTCACTTCATCGCCATCAACAACATCACAGACATTTCAATGTCTGAGTATTTTCATTGAATCAAAAAAACCGTTTTCCTCTTTGAATATTATAGAATTCTCTTGGCGTCACCAGCAGTACTTTAATTTACTGAGTGGTTTCAATTTCACCAGCAGAAGAATGGAGGAGCACACCATCGACGTGCACTTCAGCTGCCAGCGATGCTGTCAGCCGCTACGCCTCGACAAGACGCTGAATCCAATGAGCAAGGACTACTACTACGACTTGATTACCAACAGTGCGCAGACAACGGGAGGAGGCGGTGGCGGTGGTGGTGGATTATCATCAGCTACCACCACTCAACTCGGAGGTGATGGTGGTGATCGTAACAGGAAGGTCAGCGCAGCAGCGCACACGGCAGAGGTCGACGAAGTAGGTGGGGAAACTGGGTCCACGGTCAAAGCCTCTTCCTCCGTTTCTTCAAGTCCCGTCTTATCATCTCGAAAGAGTAGCACCATCACCAACACCACCACCACCACCACCACCACGGCGGCAAACATCAGCAGAATGAGCCCTGATGTGATTACGAAGACTATTGAGCCGATTCGAAAAACCGCAGACTACGACTACAGTCTGATCAATGACCCGAGCAGCAGCAATATCACCTCGACCACCTCCTTCATCCACTCCTCTCTCATGTCCAACCATCCAGTTGATCCGGTGGACGGGAACAAGGACCTGAAGCTGCAGATTCAGCTCTTTGACATTCTCTCCGATCAGTCTGACATTGACCATCCGCTCTGTGAGGAGTGCGCCGACTTTGTCATCAAGCAGATGGACCACCACCTGAAGATTCTTGAGGACGAGTGCGCCGACTACAACGAGTACCTCAAGCAGATCGACACTACCAAACAGGAGACCACTGCTCAGGCCACTGACGAGGAGGAGATTGAGGAGCTTCGCACGCAGCTAAAGTCTATGCAGCTGACACAGGCGTCGATGATTGCCGAGCTGAAGGAGCTGAACAAGGAGCAGAAGCGCGTCGAGGACGACGTGGAGAAGAACCTGAACGAGCTGAAGCGCCTCAAGACGGACGAGGACCGGTACTGGCACGAGTACAACAACGTCAAGTACAACTTCTTCCAGTGCGAGGAGGAGCAGAGTACGCTGGAGAATAAGCTGCGCTACGCAAAGACCTTCTACGGGAAGCTGAAGAGCACCTGCGTCTTCAACGCCACCTTCCACATCTGGCACAGCGGCGACTTTGCCACCATCAACGGCTTCCGCATGGGCCGCCTGGAGAGCATGCAGGTCGACTGGAATGAGATCAACGCCGGCTGGGGCCAGTGCGCCCTGCTCCTTAGCTCACTGGCCAACAAGATCGGCCTCACCTTTAAGCGCTTCAAGATCGTCCCCTACGGCAACTACTCCTTCATCGAGTCGCTGGAGGCGGACAAGTCGAAGCAGCTGCCGCTGTACACCTCCGGTGGGTTAAAGTACTACTTCAACCAGAAGTACGACCAGGCGATGGTCGCCTTCCTCGACTGTTTGAAGCAGTTCAACGACGAGTGCCACCGCCAGGATGAGGGCTTCAAGCTTCCCTACGAGTAAGTTTTTTAACTCATGTTAAACATGGCAATCTTTATCAAACTCATTTCTTTCCAGGATGGACTTGAAGGGAAACATCTCTGACTTGCAGCACAACATCAAGCTGTCTATCAAGTGAGTACCCTGAACTTGAATTTGTAAAAAATAACCCTAATTTGATATATTCCAGAATTAGCATCAACACTGAAGACAAGTGGACGAAGGCGCTGAAGTTGATGCTGACTAACCTAAAGTGGGGACTCGCATTCGTGTCCAATAAGCACCACGTTTAAGCACAATCGCCTGAACTGGACTGATATTCTTCAATAGCCAACTCGGATTAACTCTTGTGATACACACTTCTGAGGTGCAGTTTGTTGAAAGTTTGGTAAACGTTTCAATTTAAATTAGTCATTAAAACACGCAATTGCTTTATTGAAAGCAAGAAAGAGAGAAAGAACGGTTCGACATTGTTAGACACGAGTTTGTAATGTGGTGGTACGCTTGTCAAGTGTTTGCTTCTTTAAGATTTATGTGTGTGTGTGTGTGTTTGTGGATAATGATGTATGTGTGTGTGTCAATTGCAAAAATAGAGGTGGCTCAGCAAAGGTAAAGAGTGNTAAATTAGTCATTAAAACACGCAATTGCTTTATTGAAAGCAAGAAAGAGAGAAAGAACGGTTCGACATTGTTAGACACGAGTTTGTAATGTGGTGGTACGCTTGTCAAGTGTTTGCTTCTTTAAGATTTATGTGTGTGTGTGTTTGTTTGTGGATAATGATGTATGTGTGTGTGTCAATTGCAAAAATAGAGGTGGCTCAGCAAAGGTAAAGAGTGATCAACACAAAAATAGGAGAAGAAGAAAAGTGATTTAAATTAAAGAAAGGGAAGAAAAATAAAGAAATAAGTAAATAAGGAGAAGGTGGTGGTGGTAGTGTAGGACCATGGCCATGGCAATCAACGAGAAAGAAAGAAAAAGAAAGAGTTCATAATATGTGGTGAATGTGGTGAACGCAACAAAAGAGAAAAGAAGAAGAAGACGGAAACCAAAGAATGAAGACGATTAGCCAGGGTGATCACATGCCGTCGGCCATGGCCGTAAAGGTGAAATTGAATTGAAATTGAAAGAGGTGGAGGGCTAAACAAAAACAGAAAGGTGTTCAATGAAATGTACAGATCAGATCAGATCAAAGCCAATCACAATGGACTGATTTGGAAGAAGAAGGGAGCGAAAAGGAAGGAGGGAAAAGAAAAGAATATACGATAATGAAGAGTGTTAGTGTTGGGTGTGTGTGTATTTGTGTTTGGGAGGATGTGTGATGAGCCCGTAAGGACCCATCATTTTATTGCCTGTTTTGTTATTATTGCAGAAGCTTGCTGATTTGTCAAGTTTGTTTGTTTTTTTGTGTGTGTGAAAGTCGTTCGTGAAGAAGAAGAAGAAGTAGGAATTGAAAGAGAAAAAGTCGAACAAGTCGGACACAAAACATTGTTAGTTAGAGTTTGACACACGAGAGAGAATTTGCACACAAAGGAGAAAAAATGAATGAATGACTGACTGACTGCTGAAAAGAGTTCTACTGTATGGACAACAGGAAGGAAGGAAGTTTTGGCCTGCGTTGGACAAAACAGACATTGAAGTTGTTGGGGTTGATGGAGTCAAGCGAAAGAGGAAAATGAGAGCTCCTAATACAGCTTAGCAGATGATAAAATTCATTCTAGGAGTATGGGGCTACAATGAAGAATAAGTAGAGGGAGAAAAGTGTGAATGAAGGGAGAGAGACTAGAATGATGACCAAATGGTGGTTGTTTGTGTGTGTGTGGGCGTGTCAGATGTGATGGAGTCAGAGTAAGGGTGATGGTGGTTCAGGTAGAGGAGAAGAATTCAAATTTCTTCTCAAATTAAATAGAAATAATGATTACTGAACTGTCAGAAGAAAGCCAGAAAAAGAAAGAGGAGTTCAGCAGAGTGAGTGCACGCCACAGGACGCCAAGTGTTGGGATGTTTTTCTCCTAAAATGGTGAGTGTGTGTGGCACAGACGGCAATTTCAGTTGCAGCGAGTAAGATTGGCTGTGGGATTTGTTGGGTGTTTGGTGGTCAGGTAAGCAGTTTTACTTACTTGAAGAAGTGTGGGTGCGTGCCTTATGCAGTGATGATTATCTTTCCAAAAAGTTCTGCTCTCCCTTTCTATTTGGGCACTGGGACGAGCACTTGGACGTAGCTGACGGGAAAGAGGCCGGTTCGTCCGCCCACCGAGCCCTCGTACCAGTTGTCGTCAATCTGCGAGACCAGCGTAATGAGATCGCCCTCCTTGAACTGCAGCTCATTCTCATTCTCCGGGTCAAAGTCGTACAGCGCCTGGGCGCAGGGGCCGCGCGCCTCGGTGGGCGTGCGAGCTGGAGAGCGAACCGGGGAGGGAAGAGGAGAGGCTGGTGGTTAGTAAGGTAAATCAATTCGAAGTTGGGTTGGGTTGTCAGAGAGCAGAGATCAGGCAGCAAGTGGTTGAGCAAGTGTTGGTTGATTGGTTGGCAGGTTATCAGGTCGGTTCGAAAAGGCGATAAAGAGGAGAGAGCAAAGCGAATAGAGACAAAAGGAAAAGGAGAGAGAAAGAGAAGTTTGTTAGTCAACGTTAGGAGCAGCAGTTGTTGGCAGCCAGCCAGAAAAGAAGCACGGTCAAAAAGTTTAGAAGATGGGAAGGGAAGGAAAACAGGCAAAAAAGAACAAAATAAAGGGGCAAAAGAAACCAAACAAAAAAACCAAAGACCATTATTGTAAATGGAGGTACCATTTAGGTTGTTAGCCTTGGAGGCGTCCAGAAAGAGATGAGTTGGCTTCGCAGGGTGCTCGCCAGACGGAGAAACTGCGTGTTTGGTGAGAAGGAGTAGAATAGTGAAAGAGACACAATAGAACGGATAAAGAGAGAGAGAGACAGAACATATCAAAGAGAGAAAGAAAAGACAAAGAAAGAGTTAGTCAAGTCGGATTAGTAAAAACACATAAAAGAAAGGGGGTAGAGGGGTGGGAAAGAGTGGTGCTGAAGCAAAAAGGAAAGAATGAACAACAAGAAGAAGATAGAGTTGTTAAAAATAGATAGAACAAATGAACCCGACTGATACACACTTCAACAACAACAACGAGCCACGCTAAAACTGCTGTCCTCAGACAACAAAGGGAAACAAATCTCATTACATGATGATGATGATGAACTACCAAAGTTTCCATAGGCGGAATGTCTGTTGAACTGGCTTGAGCTTGAGGTGTTGTTGCTGTTGTTTGAGGTACCCTGAGAGGGGGTATATCTGCCCGCTGAATTGGTATAACTGGGTGGCGGGTCGTCCCAAGAGGTGGCAACTGGGTCTACCGTAGGCTGTTCAATACTGCCGAGCAGATCAAAGCTAGGGAAGCTGGCGCTGCTGCTCAGATTGGTAACGCTCTTGCTGAAGGCACCACCGCCCGCCAAATTACTACCACTGGTGGTGCTACTATTGTTGTTAGTCTTTCCACTGAGCAGGTAGGCGGTGGTGCTGCTTAGATTGATGCCTCCGTTTAGGTGGCCACCATTCTGTGCCGAAGTGGAAGCCCCACCAAACCTACTGTTTGGATTGCTGCTGGCAGCCAGGTGGGCCGATTTGGTGGACCAGGAGGGGGAGGAGGATTTAGGATTAGCGGTCAGTGGGGGATACACTGAACCGGTGTTGTGTTTGGGCTTAGGGGGAGCAGACCGGTAGCTGCCGGAACTGAGTGACTGGGAGCTACTGTAGTGGCTAGTGCTGTTGGGACCCTGCTGTGGCTGACTGGGAGTGGTGAAAAAGTGCGAGGTAGAAGAGGAGGAGGAGGGGAAGGATGACTGTTGTTGAGCACCCAAACCATTCATGTTGTGCGGCAGATCACCCGGCGAGAGGTCCCCGTCGTGGCCCAGCGAGGGAATGATCAGATTGAGGTCGGCCAGCTTCTGCGGAACGTACGGCTCGAAGCTCCTCTGGGCGGCTTCGTTTTTGCTGCATTGGAGATAATGGAAATTAGTAAAAATGGAAG